TGTGAAATGTGGAGTGCGGCCCAGGCACGTACGGCAAACATACAACAACAACAACAAAAACACGGGCACAGACAGCATGATAAAAATGTTAAATACTTAACAAATATTTAAAATATCATATGCATGTGCCACATGTATATATGTTTTTGGGATTGCACACGATCCACGGCTGATCCGCAGCCGATCCGCAGCCGATCCGCAGCCGATCCGATCCGATCCGATGAATATGATGTATGTTATGTTCGCAGTCGAATGGCGCTCGCCTCATAACAAATCATTGCTGGACTCGTACTCGTAATCGTATTAGTAATAATAATAATATATGAATATGAATATGGATGTTATACAATTTGCCAGTAAATTATTTAATGCACATTTCACATTGCGGTTGCTTCCATTTATTCCAAGGAAGACACAATAAACTTCTTCTTTTTTTTTTGGTAATTATCGAGCGAAATTTTGTGCGGTTTTTACTGTACTCTCTGACTCATTTCTGTGCAAACTGTGCTTCATTGTTTATTGCTAAAATATTTGTTATATTTTATTTTTTATTTTTGGATATTCTGGTTTTTTTTTTAAAGATTGTTTCAAAGACTTGCATCGATTAATTCAAGTTTGTTGTATAATGTTATGCAAACTGGCTCATACAAAATTTGAAAACACGAAAATATATCGTTGATTGATTAATTAATTGATCTCGCAGATAAATCAAATATATTGACTTGTATATATAAATACTTATATATTTGTTGATACAATTTGAACGACATGCTTTTATTCAGTTCATCAATTGAACAAACATTGTAAGTTTATCGATTATACAATACAACCCTTGTCGATAAGCTTATCGATAATTCATATATGTTGTACAACGGTTAATTTACCAGAGAAATATTTGGGTTTCGCACTGGCCACACTTAACTAACCCAAATAGAGTACTTACACACACATATGTATGTATGTTTGTATCATGTTTATCGCAAACCTATCGATAAATTGCATTGAGCGTCAATTTTGGTTTTAATGCAATCGAAGAAGTTATCGATCTTTAATCAATAAACCTATCGATAGTTAAAATGTTGCGCAACAAATTTTATTAAATACATTAATGTAAGGTTAAATGAAACGTTTAATTTTGTTCGATTCATATATCGATAACTTTTGCATATCCAAACATGTAAATATACAAAAGTAGATCATAATGAGAGCAAGTTGAATATATTGATCGATTGCAAATAAAAAAATATATCGATAACATCTTCTTATCGATCAATTGCTAAATAACTCCATGCAAATTCAAGTTCACCCTTTACAATTTAGTCGTCCGCATTACGTTAATCGCGTGCTTGATGCGATCTTTGCATTTCCAATCGAACGAGCAAACAATTTCGCACACTTGAGATAAATCGCGAAATGCCAGCGAATCAACAAGTCCAGCAATCCAAGCGACAAGGCGACAAACACACAACATTAAAAAAGCGCTTCATAATAAAAAAAAGCCGCTTAGGAATTTTAATGGCTAACAACAAGAAAGAAGAGGAGAAAAAAACACAAGTCAAATAAAATAAAAGCTAAGTACGAGTTGCTGTGCGCGCCCTGCTGGGCCGTTTGCCAGCTGTCAGCTCATCTTCGATGCGGTTATCGATTAGCAATCGAGTCAAGTCAAGCGATTGTCAACTGTTTGCGCAACTCAACACAAGCCAGCACGACGCTGACAACGCGGCGTATGCGCAACGTGCAGCCACCTGCCGTGACCTCAAAACCTGGGTTCTAGAGGAGCGGACAGGTGGGCCGGTGGGCCGGTGGGCAGCCGGCCAGAAGGGGTCTGCGGCTGTACGCATGCGCCGCATTTGGTCAAAATGATAGCAACTGAAACGTAGTTAAAAAAAAGAAAAACAAGTAAGAGTGCTCTAGTCGGGAGTGCGCGACGAGCAGATACCCTCAACCCAGCGCCAAGCTGCGGGGTATAAACTCTAGCTTTGATCTCTAGAGAGAACGAAAGCCGACTTATCAAGTTTTGTAAGTATTTTTCAAGCTATGCCTAAAGAAACGTGTCTCAAAATCGATATTTATCGATATTATGAAAACGAAAAAAAGGGCATATCGAAAAATAAAGGTAGATCAACTCAGCTCGTCGTTCGGATCACTAGGATAGGATTGCAGATGCTGCGTTCTGCATGTCACATACATTTTCACTCAACCAATATACCCTTTTAAGCCATTTTCAATGGGTACAGGGTATAAAAATAGCATTTGTGTAGCGATTGGCATTTGGCGTTTGGCGAATGTCAAAAAAGATTTTCGTTGAACAAGTTGCAACGCACATCAAAGGCAAAGGCTTTCAAAGCTTTCAAAGCCAGCAGAACAAAAGCTAAACCACACACACACGCACACACGCACGCACACACGCAAACATGCGAAAGCCATAAATCATAATTCTTTATTCTGGCTTTTTTCATTTGGTTGTTGCTCAAGTTTTACGTTTTTCGTTGTTCATTTTCGCTTTTTGTTTTCTCATTTTAAAATTTAATTTTTTTTTTCTTGACTGACTTTCAATTTGCACTAGTGTGCGTGTGTGTGTGTGTCTGTGTGTGTGTGTCTGTGTGTGTGTGTGTGAGGCACATAAAAGTGGCACTTAAACTTTTTGAGGCAACTGTAGCTGCTGCGGGGCACAGGGGTTGGCATTCGCAACAAACATTCTTGCCAAAATGATAAATGGCCCAAAAGGCAATACTAGAAATGGCAGAGCCATAACAGCTCGGGCACCGAAGGGGTGGCTGCTCGTTATATTCTATGTAGGCGTCTGGGGGTTGGTTGGCTTTTTGCATTTCGGAGTGGTGAGAGGGGGGGGGGGGGGAGGGGGTCGCAGTCGTATGTCCCTCAAAAACTACTTAGTTATACAGAACGCATAATTAGTCAAGTTTTAGCTTAACCCAATCTCTGGCTAAGGCATTCCGCACACAATTTCAAACACATAACTGAATTCCTTGAAAAACCTCAAAGACCATAAAAAAAAATATAAAAAACAAAATGCGAAACATGGCAGCACACAAAAAGGGCAACAAATTGCCATAAAAAAAAAAATAAAAAAAAAAAAAAACAGAAACGAAAACGAAAAAACCCAAATTAGCACTGGGAACTAAAATTAAATAATATAACTTTATATAATATAAATGTGCCATGTGGCAACGCTGAGAAAGCACAACGCAGCGAGTTGTTAAGTTGCCTGTGTTAAAATCTGACTTACTTTTGAGCTAAAATTTATGGAGTGTCTTAGAAAAATGCACCAATGATTGATTTGATTGATTTCATGACAGCTGGCAACGCTGCAGCAGCAAAGCCAGAAATAGCGTTCGCAGTAACTATCTGGCAACGCTGTGCTAACATATTTGCTTGCCCTAAGCTGAAATAAAACTCAAATTTTGTTCAAATTCTAATTGGAAATTTAAAATGTTTGAGAAAAGTAAAATAAAAATATAAAAACAGCGCCATTGAGCTATGTGGCAACGCTGCCTTATTAAGTTGGCTGCACTTGTTAAGTTGGCTGCACTTGTTAAGTTAGCTGTGCTCAAATCTAATTGAATTTAAATCAAAAATTAATGAGATTTGGGTCTTATGCGTATTTCTTACCGCTATACAGAATTGCTGATAAACTTAGGGCTCGTCGAAAGCCCATAAAACAGTCTGTATGGCAGAATCTGAAGCGATCTCAGCTGCAGTTTGAGCAAAGCAGATGCATTGAGTCTCAATTGACCTATTGCATAGCTGAAATACTTGCAATGCTCGGAATGCATGTGCTTGTTGTTTGCATTTCACCTTCAACTGTGATTGACCGCACTTACCCGTCGGGCTATTACACACACTCGAATGTAGATCAATTGTAGATCCGCAGTCTCTGGCTAACAGGCATCTATGAAAATGTGTGCATTCTGCATTCAATTAAACGATTAAGCTCTTAATTGAGACATCAACATGGCTAACTAAACTACGCACAGCAAATGTGAACAGCATTGGGTCAGTCAGTCAGCTGGTCAGTCAGTCAATCAGTCAGGTGGTCAGTCAGTCAATCAGTCAGCTGTCGGCTGCTCAATGCTTACATAAATCAATTGACTTAAGTTTATTTTATAATTTAATTGTTTAGGCTTATACCCTGTACTACAACTAAACAACTCAGTGGGGTAGCCTCTTGTTAAGCACAAATATGCAACAGACACATTTAATCTCGCGATCTACAGTAGCCACAACGGGGATGCAGCTACTCATTTACCTTTGAACTAATTGTTTGCTCGTTATAGGGTATCTTGAAGTCATTTAGAGTACAAAGATTCATTAAAGCTGTTCCAAATATTGTTAAATGGGCTGAAACATGTGTTTAGTTCAATTTAGAGTACAGTTATAGCTCGTTACAGGGTATCTGGAATTCACGCACTCTTGCCGAGAGCAAACTTATTTGTTTCAAGCGATAATATTCTAGCCCTGCCCTGAAGCATGGCTCAAACATTGTCTATTGAGCTAAAACATGTGTTTAATTCTATTTAATTTAATTCTTAGCTGATTACAGGGTATCTGCTAGTCGTACAGTCTTATATAGAGCACACTTGCTGTTTCCTAAAAGACACCCCTAAAATAGTCGAATGAATTGAGCCACATAAACAATTCATAACCCATTACAGGGTATATGTTAGTCATGCATCTCCTTGTAGAGCACACTTAATTGTTTAATAAGATAATTAATTTATGATATGCAGCAGTCATGCCTTAAGATATGCCTAAATCTTGTGTTTAATTAGATTTATAAGCGATTACAGGGTATCTTAAGGTCGTGCAGTGTATGGCACACGAACTGGCTTTTTATGAGCTGTTTTACGCTCACACAAGCTCAAATACGGGCGCGATTTGACTTGTTTTTCTCACACACTTCTCTTGCCCTATCGCTCACTCACCCACTCTCTCTCTCTCTTTTCTCCCTCCCTCTCTCTCTCTCGCTCTCTCTCATACAGAGCGAGCGTGCGATTCGTGCTGGTCGTCGCTGTCGTCGGTTGATGTCTCGGATGTCGCCGATGTGGATGTGGATGTCGACCGGTGCCGGTGGCCAAAACATTCAGTTGAATTCAACGCTGTGAGCAACACACGCTGGAAGCGCCGATGGAACCGCGTCGCGACGCAGCGGCAACGGCAGCAGCGGCAGCGACAACAACAAAAACAACAGCTAAAGAAACAAAAGCAACAACAATATTTGCACAAAAGCAACAACAGCAACTGCAACAAAAACTACAACCACAAACAACAGTCAGCTAAAAAGAAAGAAAAAAAAAAACGTTTTATTAACAACAATTTGTGATAACCGAGAGAGACAACAACAACAACAACAAAAACTACAACAAACAACAACAACAACAACAACAAGTAGACGCGAGTGTCCAAAACAAAAACAACATTTATATACTTATACAAAATATATATATCCACATATATATCTATATTTATACAAAGCGCATATACAAACACAACAAAAAATTAATAATAATTAAACATAAAAATCAAACAATAAATATTTAATTAACAACAAAAAGCAGTCCAACAAATGCAACGCGTAGGCCTTCAACTGTGATTTACAAATAAAATATATTAAAAACAAAACAAAACAAAACCGCAACAAATAAAGTTTTAAAAAAGTTCTACTATAAAAAAAAAAAGTGGCGAGAAAAAAAAGAAGTCTACAAATAAAATAACGAGTTACGAGTGCTTTTTTTTAGTTTTTATTATTATTCTTATTATTATTTACGTTTCGTTTTGTGTGTTGAATTCGATATCCAATTAGAATACGCGCCCCAATAAGAAGCAGCAGCAGCAGCAGCAGCAGCAGCAGCCAAACAATGTTCAACTCCAATATACCGGCCGCCGCGCTGCTGAGCATCGAGGGCAGCGGCCTTGGCGCTCACACGCCCAAAACTCCAGAGATACTCAACTCGCTGATCGCGATGACAAATCCTTTGGACAACTTCAATTTCAATGGCTCCGGCACTTGCAGCGCCGCCTCCACGCCGGTGGTCACCATACGCAACTTTTGCGGCAATGCGAACGGACAGGTGCGTAGCTGCCGCGCAGCGCTGCTTCTCGTAATCAGCCTGCCTAATTTCAGCTCTTCTCTTCTCTTCTCTTCTCTTTTACAGTCGCACTCGCAGGACAGCAGTCATTCCAGTTGCTCGGCATCGCCGCTCGATTCGCCGGCGGGCACGGCGACCACGCCCAGTGTGCAACAGGTAGGTGTCAAAAGGGGCTGTCAATAGGAATATTTATAAAAATGTAACTTTCAATATTTTCTATAATTGTCTTTGAACGTGGCTGTCAATTCGTGCACAAGACTCGAAATCAATTCACCAAATTTTACCTTCAATCTTGGATCCTTTACAATTAATACTTGATCCTTTTCAACTTTGCTTCAATTTGGCATTTGTTGCATTCTTGACAATCAGTTCAACTTTCAGTTTCGTAATTCAATTTTACTTTCAATCTCTGCGTTCTGCGTTCAATTATCTTATCTGTTGATTGTGGCCTTCAGGTGCAGTTTTTAGCTTTCAATTAGCCTTTTCAATCAATGAAATATTTCAATTGGGCATATAGCTCATACCTCGCATAATTTACAGCTCGACTTATATTCTATTTGCAGTTATCTTGCTCCATAGATAGCCCAACACGGTTTGATTGATCGTTCAATTCAGTTTAATCTTGTCATAGTTGACAATCAGTTCGACCTGAAATTCAGTTTAGATATAATTATTAACTAAATATGGGCACACAATTTCATTTTAAATCTTAGACAGTTCCTTCAATTAGCCAAACGCTGTTCAATCAATTTTCCTTTCAATCAAAATGTTAAATGGAATATTGCTGACACAGTTTACAATCATCAGCTCAGCTTTCAATTTTCGCTTTCAATCTCAAACAGTTTCCATTCGATTATCCAAATACGGTTCAATCAACTTCCCATTTCAATCAAAATTCCATATCGAATAAATGATAACATTCCATCACAATTGACAATCAGTTAAAATTGTAATTCAATCGAGCTTAGCTTTTTCAATTTGACTTTCAATTATCTGATGCAATCGATTGATGGCCTTTGGCTAACTTGACGACGCATTGCACAATTTTCACTTTCAATCTGTCATCTGTTGAATTACTGCACGCGTGCACGCAATTCAATTCGCTTCAATTCAATTCAATTTCCCTTTCAATCTGGCCGCACCATTCAACGACAATCAACAATCAACAAGATTGTTCAACATTTGCGTGCGTTTTCCATTTCCAATGTCCGAATTGCATATGTGGCGCCCACGCAGCGCACGACGATGTGCCAAATGCCCACGCAATGCCAGCTGCTGCACCGGCTCCGGCTACAGCTCCGGACATTGGCCGGCATCCGCTAAACACTCGCCCGCGCTGCCGCGCCCCCTCGCGCCCACACGCCAGCCCGCCTTCAATCGGGGCGACAGTCGGTTAGTCATTTGGTCGATTTGTCGCTTGGGTCAGGCTTTTGGCTTTGGCGCTCAGTTCGTGGGCGTCGTTGTTGACGCTTCAATTGCAAAACGCAGCCAGAATTGATTTCACTTTTCGTATGCAAACAGAAATTGAATAAAGTATCTGTAGCTGCAGCTGTATCTGTAGCTGTATCTGTATCTGTATCTGTATCTTTAGCTGCTGCATTTGTATCTATAGCTGTTGCATCTGTATGCGGCTGCACAGAATCACTTGACTGACATTGGCCTTAATGAGGCACGTAGCTGACGCAGCTCAGCTCAGTGAGGATAGGTAGGTGGAAATGTGGCGGGGGGGGGGGGGGGGGGGGGGGCGGAAGAGGTTGGCGGGTTTTCTCGAGGGGCGAGTGCGGGTGCGATTATTGCATATGAATAACATTTGCCACGCGGCAATTAAATGCCATTCGAGCAGAGCTCACAGCTCCCGGGCGCATCCAGCAGATACTTAGATACATTTACGTATCTGTAAATGTGCGCTGCACTAATTGGCAGGTGTGTGTGTGTGTCTCTTTCTCTCTCTCTCTCTCTCTCTCTGTGTGTGTGTGTGTGTGTGTGTGTGTGATTTATGATTATTACTTGAAACGAATTTATAGGCATTGAACTGCCGCAAATTTTAATTGCCGCCAGTCGACGGCGGCGCGGCGCAAGTGCAAAATATTACAAAAAATAAAAATTAAACGCTTTTCAATTTGTTTTCTAACAAATTTCACATAAATTATAAAAGCCCAACACACACACACACACACAGGCAAATGCTAACTTTTTGCTGTTGCCACTCGCCACAGTTTTTTATTGCACTTTTTGCCGCAGCCGCAGCCGCTGTTGCTGCTGCTGCTTCTTCTTCTTAGTTTGCGCAAATATTTGCACAAATGTTTAAATTTGCGTTTTGCACATTTCTCATAAACGCAAAATGCACAGCGAGAAAAAAAAGCGGAAAGAAAACAGCTCAAAATAAAAAGTACAAATTTCAAAATGGCAAATATTGAATGTCGAAAAGTCGTACATAAAAAAATACTTAAAAAAAAAAGCGAGAAGAAAGCACAAATTGAAACCAAGCCGCACACTGAATACCCTAGCTATAAATTTGGAAAAATACAAACACAAAAACTACAACGAGGGAAGCATCTGCAGCAATATCGGAAAGTTTCATAATTCCCATGCTAGCTGCAGGACATATACATCCTATTAAAGGGGATTTACACAACGTTTCATTAACCCATCTTCGCTGAAAGCTCAGTTCGAATAGTACAGACTGTCAATATAATATACATAGTTATAATCGCCGCTGATCAATTATATAAATAGAAATAAGCTTGCAAACGTTTAGCTACAAATTTCAGATACCCCACTTTTCAAGGGTATTTTTCCAAAAACGGAAAACAAATAAAAAGTAAAGTAATAAAAAATGAAGAAGAGAAAAACTGGCAAGCAGGCGAACAAACAAAATGCGGGGCCAAATAAAAGATGCAAATTTGCGAGACGATTCGTGCGAAATTTGAGTTTGTTTTTTTTTTTTTTTTTTTGGGCGCTGCTCGGCAAACATCGCACATTTGCAGATACAGATACAGATACAGATACAAAAACACATACAGATACAGATACAGATACAGCTACAGCTACACACACAGATATAGATAAATTCACAGACACAGATACAGATACAAATTACAGATACAGATACAAGTTCAGATGCTGACACAGATATAGATACATTCACAAATGCACATACAGATACAGATACAGATGCAGATACAGACACAGATATAGATACATTCACAAATGCACATACAGATACAGATACAGATACAGATGCAGATACAGACACAGATATAGATACATTCACAGATGTAGATACAGATACAGGTGCAGTATCTTTACGCAACTAGGCGAATCGCAAAGAAGGGCTTAGATATGATTTTGGATAAACATATATACACATATATGTATATATCCCTCTCTCTCTCTCTCTCTCTCTCTCTGTCTGTCTGGGCCGTAGCACTCGTTAAGTTGTATCTTTATGCCTTCAGAAATAGGCCCCAAATACTTGGGTTCGCCCGATTTATATGCTTGCATATATGTAAAGCCTTTTTGAGCATTTGCTTATCTTTGTGACTTCGTTATCTCATGTTTTCTGTTTCGATCTGCCGTGCTTATCAAACTAAGATTAAGTCTTATCTCACTTAGATCAGTTCCAAACTTTAGTTCTGGTTGTGCTTCTCCTTTCTCTCCCTCTATCTCGCTCTCTCTCTCTCTCTCTCTCTCGCTCTCTCTCTCTCTCTCTAACTTGCTCTCTGATCAGCTGAACTATATTCTCTTCTCTTTGAACCTTTGTGTTTACTTTTATTTACCTTTCTGTCTCCGGCTCGCTTCAAGCTTAGATCCAGTTTCTTCTTTTAAATAGTCCAAATTTTCGACTTGTTTTTTTTTGACAAACTTAGTCAAACGCCTTGCTCTCTCTCTCTCTCTCTCCCTCTCTCTCTCTCTCTCTCTACCAATTTCTTTGTCTTTGCCTTTTTAGAATAAACCAGCAAATAACTGATCTGCATACTTAAGCACTGACCTTTTCTAATCTTATATTGATTGACTGATTGATTAACTGACTGATTGACTGACTGATTGACCGTAAAAGCAATGTAGCTCAAATTTGTACTGCGATTCCGAGCGCAAGCGTGAAAAGATTGCGAAAGGCGAAAAGATTGACAAGGGAAATTGACAGATTGTACAGATACATATGTTATATATATATATATATATATATATATATGTATAGAATGGATATATGTAAAGGTAAAGGGTCCCCCCGACCCTTTGGCAGCCTAGTTCTGCTACTGCTTGCTCCAATTACACTCTCTGGCCCCACACGCAGACCAATTGGAATGCCCTGACAACTAGCAGGCACACACACACACACACACACACACACACACACACACACACACACACACACACACACACACACACACACACACACACACACACACACACACACACACACACACACACACACACACACACACACACACACACACACACACACACACACACACACACACACACACACGCACGCACACACACACACACACACGGAGAGTTGCACAACAACAACAACAGCCGCTGGAGTCAAGTAGAAAACGCACCAATTTTCGAGAAGTCTGCCAAGTCGAGTTGAAGGCAACGAAATCTTTTTCTTTTATATTTTTTTGACCATATGGTCGCCGGGCGGTCCGCAGTAGCTGCGGCAGTCGCAGTCGCAGTCGCAGTCGTTGGCGCATGCGATTATTATGATTATGCGTGTTTCTTTTTTCTCGTCTGTTTTTTTTCTGGTTGAAATAAAATTTATTTATCTGCTTTTTGGGTCAATAAATAAAAAGGCAGCGTGCCTAAAATTTAAATGAAACAATGCGTTGAGCGGCTGGCGAAAATAACAGCAGCAGCAGCAGCAGCGGCAGCGGCAGCGACAGCAAAAAGGGGCTGGGCTGTGCATAGGGCTGAGGAGGGGCTTTTGGAGTGGGCGTTGGACAGTGGCATCTGAACAATTTCTCGAGCAGACAGCAAATAAAAAGCGCAAAACTCAAGATAATGATAATCATGTTGATGATCATCGCGAAGATGGGCTGGCAAAGATAGTCTGGGCTTGTTGCTGACACTTGAATGAGCTGTCATTGAGCTGCACATTGAAGTGGGCTGTCTAAAAAGGAGGACAGCAGGGTAGAGAGCTGAAGTGGGAGAAGGGGCAAGCGAAACTCTAGGCAGCCTTTCAGCAGCTTTCAATCAGCACTTCTTTTAAAGCTTCAATCAACTTTATAATCAGCGCTTCAATCAGCACTTCAATCAACTATTCAATCAGCGCTTCATTCAGCGCTTCAACCAGCGCTTCAATCGACTATTCAAGCAAAGCTTCAATCAACTCTTTAATCAGCGCTTCAGCACTTCTATTAGCGCTTCAATCAACTATTCAATCAAAGCTTCAATCAGCGCTTCATTCAGCGCTTCAATCAACTATTCAAGCAAAGCTTCAATCAACTCTTCAATCAGCGTTTCAACCAGCACTTCTATTAGCGCTTCAATCACGAATTCAATTCAATTAAAATGCATCAACATCGTTTCAATTTAGACCATACTAAGTAATTTTGAAGTTTTCAATTCAATTTTGTTTTAGCTTGCATTCAACCTATACATTTTTATTCTTATATTTCCGGTTTGTAGAATATTATACTAAAATGATCTGAACATTATGAAGCTTTCTGCTTTCAATTGAATCTTCAATTCAATTCTTCCTTTTCGACGAGGTCTTTCAGCTAGTTGAATTGTTTGCACATTCTGCTCTTCGGGATGCGCTACTAAAACTATTTGTAACATATGACCCTTTCCACTTTCAAGTCAATCTTCAATCAATTGAATTCCACCTTTCCAATTTCAATATCATTGTGGGTCAGTTGATTTAACTTTCATTTCGATTTATATTTATTATCTGTAAATATTGAAGGTTATTAATTGAGAGTTCAACGCAAACTTCAATTCAATCATTATTTTTTCTTTCAATTTCAATGATTTCAATTTCAACTAGTTGAAAGTTGACTCGTTATTTCAACTACTTCAATTTCAATTTTGATTTTTCATTTCAATTTCAATGAGGACTTTCAACATGTTAAATTTCACTTTTGGGGATGCGAAGCCCAAATTATTTGTAAAAATATGAGCCCTTCCTCCCTACCTTGTCAGCTTCAATTTCAATGTGGGGCTTTCAACCAGTCGCATTGACTTAACCGAACTGCGAGCATGTGCGTTGGGCCCTTTTTAAATGAAAGTTGACAACGTGTCGACGTGATGACCATCTGTTTGTCTGTTGTCTCTACTCCATAAAAGGCGCTGACGCGTTGCCCACCCACCTCTTAAAGACCGGAGACTTGTGGCCAGGGGAGCGGAGCGGGCGGAGGTTGACTTCTGCGACTGCACTTGAGCAACCTGTTGTGGCCTTGCTGTTGATTGTTTGTTGTTGTTGATGTTGTTGTATTCATTGTCCTGCCCAGTAGTCTGGGCACTGGGCGGGTCCACAACAGAAAAAAAAAAAAACAAAAAAATACCGATTTCTATCTTTCACTTTAATATTTAAAATTTATGCGAGAGTTGCCCTCAAGTAAATCACAAAGTTAACAAAACAAATACCGCCGAGATAATCTCAAAGGCGAGTCCCAAAAATATCAAAAACCCAGCGCTTAGCCCAGGCCCAGCCCAAGCCCAGCCAAAAAAATAACCGGGCCAGATCCGAAGTGTGGCCAAGGAATGCGCAAAACTGAGCAAAACTCATGTCAAGTATTTTATATGTTGTTGATTTCTCATGAGGGTTGGCCCGCTCAGGGCGGTGCTGGGGACGGGCGAGGCGTGTTCACTGAGTCAAGTGAGATCTGGTTGAACTTGGTTAGTTCTCTGGCCAAATGGGTCAGTCAGAAATGTCAACGCGTCATTTCCCGAATTGGAGTTGTGCGCCGCGGCAAGCGCTCAAAATACTCGCTACTCGATACCACAATGCGCGATGCCAAAAGACTTGACTTATGCAATTCGTGCTGCCAGCCAGTATTGCCAACTGTCGCTCCGAAAAAGTAGCTAAATATAGCTAAATTACATTGAGAAGTGCGTACATGAGGAAAAAAGAGTTGCCAACTTTTTAGCGAGGTTTCCTTTGAAGCAGTTGGCAAGGTTCACAAATAAAAAGGCTAGAGAGGACCCAAATGTGATAGACAATAAACAGGGTTGCCAACGAGATTGAAAAAATTTAATTTAAGTTAATTTCAAGTTAAATAAGTCTTGTGCACTCGATAAAGCTACAACATTTAAAAATAGCCAGAATGCAATTCTGGCAGTTGCACACTTAAGTATAGCTATAAAATGGCTAAATTGACAGCACTGCTGCCAACTGCGGCGCCACATGGGATTCAGCCAATTTGGCTATTGGTGACAAACAACTTTTGGACCTTGACTAATCGTTCTCTCTCTCTGTCTATCTCTCTCTCTGTTTCTCTCTAGACCTGTTCGCAGCTGATCAAAGCCGGCCTCAAGCTGTCCATTCAAAGCAAACGCAAGCTGTCCACATGCGACTCCAGCTCCGGCTCCGAGCAGCCGAACTCGAAGTGTTCGCGCCGCGACGAGGACTGCGAGGAGTCCAGCGATGATGATAGCGAAACCAAGTCGGTGCCGAAGGGGCTGACGCCCGAGGATGAGGATCGCCGGCGTCGGCGTCGTGAGCGCAACAAAATCGCGGCCACCAAATGCCGCATGAAGAAGCGCGAACGCACCCAGAACCTGATCAAAGAGTCCGAGGTGCTCGATACCCAAAACGTTGACCTGAAGAATCAGGTGCGCACCCTGGAAACGGATCGTCGACGTCTGCTCGAGATGCTGCAGGCGCATTCGCCGGGCTGTGTCAAGCGCGGCGGCTGCCAGCTGCCATCCAAGCTGCTGCAATCGCCGGCAAACAAGTATCTCGCCGAACTGGAGCTGGAGGGGCTGCTCAATGGCGATGCGGCAGGCAGCGCAGCCAACACGCCCACGCAGCGGCAACTTCAGCAACAGCAGCAGCAACATCAGCAGCAGCAGCAACAGCAACAGCAACAGCAGCAGCAGCAACAGCAACGCATGCAGAGCATACCATCCATGTCGACATTTAAGTTTGGCAGCAAGACGCCAGCAGTTATGGCAGCAGCGGTAGCAGCAGCACAGGCACAACAGCAACAGCAACAGCAGCAGCAGCAGCAGCAACAGTTGCAACAGCAACAGTTGCCGAATGGCTATTGCAAGCCCTCGCCCTCGCCGCAGGAGTTCGAGCATGCGGGCTATTTGAGCTCGCCAACGCAGGATGCGCTCTGCCTGCCACAGCAACTACAGCAGCAACAGCAGCAACAGCAACAGCAGCAGCAGCAGCAATCGTCACTGAATCCCGCCAGCAACAACAACAGCAACAACAATGCCGACAACAACAGCAATTTGCTGGTCAGCCAACAGGTCTCGGACTATGTGCCCAATTGCGAGGGCCTCAGTCTTGACCTGGGCCTGTCCGCCGTGGCCGTTGCCATCACCACGCCCACCAACAGCAGCAGCAATACCAGCCTCAGCAGCCTGAGCAGCCTCAGCAGCTTGAGCAGCTTGAGCAGCCTCAGCAGCCTGAGCAGCAGCAACAACACCAGCAGCAATCACAGCAGCAGCAACACTTTGGTAGCAGCAGCTGCAGCAGCAGCAAGCAACCTGCCGCCAGCAACAACCCTGCCGCCAGCGACCACGCCCACCAGCGCCATTGAATTTGTTAAAAACGAATTGGTTGACTCACAGAGTCCATATACCACAGCGCTGAGCGCCGAGCGTTTCCTGTTCGAGTCGAGCGACGGCTTTCCGGACATCAAGCATGCGGTCAGCGTGCATCCCAGCAGCATACTCAACAACATGACCAGTGTGGCCAGCCTGGCCGTGCACAACAACAACAACAGCCATCTGATGGACTTCCACAATGGCCTGCCACACGGCGGCGGCGTCGGCGTCGGCATCATGACGCCCGTCTACGAGGAGGAGCAACTGCTAATAATGAAGAACAGCTGCTTTCCCAACGATCTGCTCTCGCAGCTGGGCGATGAAACCGATTTTGTCGATCTAGATACGGGCGCCGCTGCCTTTATGCATAACGGCGGCTGCCTGGCGTGAGATCGGGCTGCCCAGCGTGCTGCCGATCACGAGCTGTTGCTGGCCTACGAGCAGCAGCAGGAGCAGCAGCAACAGCAGCAGCAGCAGCAGCAGCAGCAGCAACAGCAGCAGGCGGTGGAGGATGAGCTGCAGCAGGAACAGGCTTGGACACATGTGGACTACTGGTGTTAGGGCGCACGCACATGCAGCTGGCATAGCTGTGTGCGAGTGTCTATATGTGTGCGTGTGTAAAGCTATTGGCGCTGGCCACGCCCAGCTAATGCCGCGCCCAGTTATACAGGCACACACCCCACACACGGACACTGCCCTAACAAAATATCCAAGTTCTTCCAACAACAACAACAACAATAACAACAACGACAACAACAACAGTAATGTCTCCTCCCACATCCCGCTACGCTCTGCGCCCGCGCTCGAATATACTTCTTATCATAAAGCACCCAACTTACCCCCCTGCAACACGCTCTGTACGTGTGTGTGTGTGTGTGTGTGTGTGTGCTTGTGCGTGTGCGTGTGTGTGTGTGTGTGCCTGGAGCGGCGCTCCGAAACGTGGCTTGACTACCTCATAAAACGACCTTTAAAATTTAAAGCACTTTGTTTAAAATACTTATAAATATAACTAATTTTTTTGTTGTTTTTTTTTTCTCGATCGTCTAAAGTTTAGATTGTAAAGCACCTGTACATAACCTTAAATTTGTATGTGTGTCTGTATATGTGTATATTGTACGTATGTATATCTCTCTCCCGCACACACATATATACATATATGTATATATATAGATATATGTGTGTGTGTGTTTATGTTTATGTTTATCGATAACATTCCGTGCAACAGGCAATTTGTTGGCAGTCACAGCCGATCAGTAATTATTAATTTTAATTTCCAAAACAAACCTGTAACCGCCCCACCCCCCCCCCCCCCCCCCCCCCCCCCCCATCCCCTTCACCACCGCTCCCCATCCTCACATATAACCCTTTCCAGTCCCGTGTGCGAGATTATGCAGCAAAACGTTAAAAAAAAAATATGGCAAAAATCTGGAAAACGAAAATTCGAAAAAAAAAAAAAAAAATTATAAAAATTATATTTAAGCTAACTGTAAAAATGGAAAATTAAAAAAAATTAAAAACCATGCGATATGATGACGTTCGATATTTTTTTTTTTTTTTGCAAAAGTAAGCTTAAGGTGTGATAAACATAATACAAAAATGTAATTAAAAAAAAAAAAAAACGATTATAAAAAACATAAACTAAAAAAAAAACTTTGTGTAACTTTTCTCTCCTTTTTTTTTCTGTAAATGTGAATTGTTTAAGACAAAGAAAGCTTGTTGCCTTAAGAAAATACAACTAAGTATAAAAAAAAAAATGTAGACTTAAGTTTGTTAATTTTTGGTGCGAAACTAAAAAATGTGCTCTTAAAAAAAAAACCTATAAAACTGCAAGAATTTTTTTTATAAACTAGCGCCTTATTAAACTTAATGACAAAATATATAAAAAGAAAAAAGCAAAATATTTACAACAACAAAAAACTTAAATATATTGAATGCATTGAAAGATGTTTAAATGTATAAAGAAGAAAATGGAAAAACAAAATATGTTTCAAAATATTTGTGTATGTGTGTTTACTGCTTGATAATATTCAGACTCAGATAACTCTATAGCTATATACAACATATATGTATGTATATATACATATGTATATATGTATGTGTATAGGAGCTTATGTAGCGTGTAAATGTGTGTGTAGAACAACAAGAAGAAGAAACTCGTTTATGCATTCAACAAATTCTAAGTATAAACAGCTGTGAACACCAAAAAGTGGCCTAAACATTAACCGAAAGAGATCATCAAGTGCTTTTCTAATTGTTTATTTCGAATTATATACCAATATATATACATATATATATATATATATTTCCTTTTTTACTTGAACAGAAAAACAGAAGAAAGAAAAATTGCCTCGATTTGTACTAAAGATTTAATATTAACAAACTATTTATGTATAATACTTATGAAAACGTAGCATTTAGTGAGCACGGCTTTTGTAGTTAGTTGTACATTGTCTACCATATAAAGCAAAATACTAACCGTGGCATACCCTAGAATACCCAGCAATTTGAACTATCCATTGGCTCTCTCCACCTCCCTCTCTCTCTCTCTCTCTCTCTCTCTCTCTGTCTCTCTGAAGTTCGTCATGCGTGTGTAAATTGTTAATTGTTTGTAAAACTTAAAATTAAATTAAAAATAAAGAAAACTTAAAAATATACCCAAAAGAAATGCCCGCCTATTTGCAAGGAAAAAGGATTCGTAATGCATGAAAAAAAAACAAAAAAAAAATAAAACAGAGTAGAGCAAAATTTGTATATAGCACGAACTACGTGAATCAAAGGAATTATATTAATATGATATTATATGTTCAGCTTCCAAGAAAAAAAGAAAATAAAATAAGAAAAAAACTATAAAAAAAAACAAACAAAAAAAAATGTAAGCTCAGGTCAAGTTTGTGTCTAATCTGTTTATAGAGGAAGTTTTTTTTAAGAAAAAAAAAAAAAAAAATGCAATGCCTAAAAAGAAAAACAACATTTAAATGTTATATGTATAAATGCAATCAATGTTTAACCAAGAGTTCTAGTGCAAAATTTGGCTATAATTTGGCTATAAAACAAAACATATTTATTATAAATAAAAAGAACATACCTCTCACACATACATAGATATATATATATATGTATATATGTGTGCATATATGTTCGTGCCTGGGGCTGAAGTTTTTTGTGCTCTCAGTTCAAAAAGTATAAACTTATATAAGCATATAGTTCATAAAGTTCAGAAAGCAACCAAATTCAGAATATCATCATCAAAAAAAGGAAAAGAAGGAAAACAACAACAACAACATCTCGCTCTATAATTCAATTTTGATATATTTCATATCCGTCTCGCTCTCGCGCTTCATTCCTCTCTCTCTCTCTCTCTCTCTCACACACTTTGTGCAGTGTTGTCAAATGCCGCATTAAAAAAAAACAGCTATATACAGTGTTAAAAATAGCTAAGCGCGCTTGCCGTGCACAAAATGGCCAAAATGCCGCACAAAAACGGCCAAAATAGCTGCAAATGTCATGTGTCTGGCTAAAAATCAATGAAACTAGCCGCATTTAGCTAAATAAAATTGCGGACTTGACAACACTGTTTCTGTTGGCTAGTAGTGGCGCATACTCTCATATCCTTTGATCATAGACTTTCTCTCTCTCTCTCTCTCTCTCGCTCTCATTTAACTTTAGCTATTAGTTTTTAGGTTCTTACCATTTGTAATATCAACAAAGAGCAACAATCGACACTTTGTTGAGCAAAGCAAACAAAATGCGCTACGAAGTACCTGTTAAATCTTATATAAATCGTATATGCATAAACGTTGTTAAATGTTAACAAAAAGAAAAACAAAACAAAAAACACAAAAAAAATTAAATAAATAGCTAAATAATTAAACAGAATTGAAGCACACAGTCAAAACTTCAGCTGCAGGCACGCAAAGCCTATTAAAACAAAGCTAACCTATAAAAAAAGAGGGAAGAATAAACGTAAACTAACGGGCCTGTTCCGGATATCGTTTCCGATCAAAATGCCAAAACGAGTGGAAATGCATTCGATTCGCTTTTCAATCCGCAACGATATCTGGCAGAGGCCCGCATACATATATACTTATATGGCATGTGCGATTATTGCAACTAATAATATAATATTAAATGCATGTGTTACAATTATAATCTACAATTTCCATAAAACAACAAAAAAAAACATAAATATATTTATAAACAAAGAAAAAAAAAACTCCCATAAACTGTGCTAAAGAAGAATACAAAAAAAAATAAATAAAAGAGAAAAAAAAGTATTATTTATATATTTTTGACAAGCGCAAAAATATATGCAAATTAATATTTGCGTTTTCAGTTGTCGCCCTTAAAAAAAACAATATCGAAATATATATATATATATATATATATATATATATATATACCAGACATATATATACATATGTATTTATATACTATAAAACATTTCTTATAACTAATTGAGCTGAGCACAAGCAATTTGTAATTTAATTAATTTTAGCTCTTTTTTCAACTACCTTTTTTTGTATATTTGTTTTTGTTTAACTTGTTATAAAAAGAAAAATGCAATTGTTAAAAAGTTATAAAAAATCTTATTTTACAATTTTTGTTTTATTATTATTATTTTTTTTTTTATATATATATTAATATATTTAAAGCACAAAAGAGAGGCACACACATAAATCAACTCAAAGCCAAACAACGACAGCTACACACACACACACACACACACACACACACACACACACACACACACACACACATACACACACACTTACACACACACACACACACTTACACACACACACAGCTAACTGTGTTTTAATGCTTTATAAGCTGAAATTAAGCGAAAATGTTTTTAATATTTGTCATATGTAATTTATTATGCTACTTAAAACAACAACAAAATTTATATCGAAAAATGCCCAGAAATCCCAACAACAACAACAAACAAACAAAGAAACAAACCCTGCAACAAATAAACACCCCACAAAAATGTCAAAAACGTACGCAAAACAAAAATGTTGCATTACATTTTATTTCAAAACAACATTTTTTTTGATACTTTTAAGCAGCTAATACTAAATATAAAATTAAAATCTAACTAATAATATTTGTTTTTTTTTTTATTATTATTATTAAACATAAAAAGTCAACAAATGGCAAATGACAAACTAAAAAAAAAAAACAACAACAAAAAATCAAACAAAACAAAAGCGAAAATGTAAAAATAAATGTTCTGCTTCGAAATCAAAAACGTACAAGAAATGTGCTTTTCAATGATGAGTTTTAGTGGAAACTAGGTGGAATTTTGCTACAGATCAAAGCCTGAAAAGAAATCATAAGTTGTTAAGCAACACTGCTTAAGGAGCACTCTTAGTGTTGGAAAATAATGGGGAATACTGTTGAACTGACACGTTATCTAGTCAAGAGCTGAGCTGCAAAATGCCAGCACTTAAGTGCCTCACAAGGTGTTAGTCAACACTGCGCAAACATTTGTCGAGCTGCTGTTCAACACTGCCGCTTGAAATCCATAAGCTTGCATATCCAGAAAGCACTCCGCCAGCAAATCAGCTTCTGTGGAATAGACTTGGGCTGCTTCTGCTGCTGTTGTCCAACACTGTCCGCGTCTTACTCATAAATCGTTCGCTGGCTGCTTCAATTGCTTAGACTCAATTATTTTTGTTCTTGGCGCGTGTCTTGGCGTGGGCGTGGGACAAACTGACTACCGGCCGCCAGCCGCTGATTGCTGCCCCGCCGGCGTTTTGGACCGACGACAACATCTGGCAGCTCAATTGCCGCGGCGACTGCTGCAGAAGGAGGCGCCGCGGCAGCGGGCGGGCTAAGAATGGGCGGACATATAAAAAGACTATGACATCATGTTATTATGCAAAAAGACGACGGCTTCATTGAGTGGGGCAGCAGCAGCAGCTTTTCTGTGTGTCAGCTTTTAAGCTATCGGCGCTCTTTCTCTTTCTCACTCTAACTAACACTGTCTCTCTCTCTCTCTGCCTCT